TTGCTCTCCAGCAACATTTTACATACAAATCCTCTAAATTTTCCGAAAATTCAAACTGTAGTATAGACTTCCTCTTTAATTCCAGGGGCCTCAAACTTAGCCATTTTGGTATTTTCGATGCGCTCTTTCGATTTCTGGCATTCTTTAAGATATAGCCCATAATAGAAAAATTTTCTCGGAAACGTTTGTCCAAGTGACCCCAGCTGCAAAGGGCCTATTGAGGTGTTATCAAGCTGGAATCCGAAGACCAAGACTGATAACACTTACCCAGGCCTTGATTATTATGGATATCGCAAAAAACGGCTTTAATAATTGTTTTATCATATGCCTTGCTGCAAAGAACTTAGAACGTAACTTAGAATTTAAGAGCCTGTCTTCGTAAAACCCACCAATTCAATTTTGCATCAAAAATATTTTTACTTAAAAAATTCTGACAATTGAAAGACTATACCAAGGAGGCTCACGGCAAACAATGCAATTCAAGGAAGAAAATGAAAACACTCGACTCGTAGTTCAGCAGAAATCGTACCCTTCAGCAATCTGTAGCTGTGTAAACAAGAATAGGTCTTTCTAGTGTGCAGAGCCACTGTACATTATAAAACGAGTAGCACAGGGGAGGAGAATGGGTACAGTTTGAAACTGTTGAGTAGAAGGATTGCTGGATAGAGGGTATTTACAAGATCATTTCCGAACTGTCTCGCAGCAATCTTGAAAGGGCCCGTACACACTAGGCAAATTTTTACTTATTTTGCACAAAAATCTGTCATCAGTTCCGTGATAAAAGTGTGCATGGTGATTTTGTTTCCTATCAAATTTTGTCGAGCCTTACCGCTGGTGTCCTCCTTCGGAGCAGGGGCCTGTTTCTCGAAAGACCTGGTAAATTATCGGGCCCGGTATTTACGGGAGCTTTCGAGAAACAGGCCCCAGGACACATTTTTGGAAAGATTGCGTGACAAACAGAAAGAGCGTCTGCGTCGGAGGCTAGATTTTTGGTACAGTCAAACAAATTTTGTTAGCCAAGTGCAGCGTACGGACACTTAGTCACAGACTTCAATTTATACATGCACCAGGGTGCCGGAATCACACGAAATATCGCACTACAGTCAAATCGTGAAGTTTTTGGCTACGTAAACAAGAATTTCAGAGTATTAATTAACATTTGAAAAAAAAACTTTAATTTTCATCTGCCGGACAAGGAATATTCTGAAAAACCTGTCCGATACAGTGAAATGTCTCCTAACGTGACTGGAAAATCATTTCCAATCAAACGGCCATCTGTCAAACCAATAACCTTGGTTAAGTCTTTCAGTTGCTAGAGTTTCAGGCAAAATTATATTTGATACGAATATGAGTGGGTAGATTTTGTAGAGTCAGTCTCTTATATTCAGTCCTTTTAAACACGTGAGATTTATATGTTCGTTGTCAACACTTTTGTGTTTGACTTTCCCCCACTTTTTTCGGTCATATTTCATTTTCGTCATCAGATATTCACTCAATACTTCCTTTGATGAACGTTTTTGTATTTCCTGCGTCAATGCTGCTCAACATTTATCTACACCTCAGGCAAAATTATATTTGATACGAATATGATTGGGTAGATTTTGTAGAGTATTATTTACTACGTGCTTTTATTATGTTATTTTAAACTCCTAGTATAGTTCCACTGTTTAAGGAGTATACTTATTAAAGATATTAAAGATTAAAGACCTCATTTGTTATAGAGGGAAATTCCGATCGAAACAAAACAGACAAGTTTATACACGCTCGACTGGTGGCAAATACTGAAACCGCTGCGGACAGGGGACAAAATATCCAGAATTATCCAGACTGCAGCTCTCAACTTCTGTATAATAACGCAATTTAATTTTCTGGTTACAGTATTTATTTGTA